CTCACCCATCCCATCCCACAGAGCAAATCTGTCCCTCAGCTGTTCTTGCAGAGGATTATTCACGGGAGAACCCTGGGGATCGAGTGGACCACGACTGCTCCGGTTTTGTTGTGGATGTTGCCCCGCACGACGTCACAGCACTGCTACGTTTCGTGCTGTCGCGAAGACTGGAATGTGGAGAAGCGGTGCAGTTCGCTACTCGTAGTGCTGAAAGTAAGTCCACAGTTCTTCGTAGGAGCCGACGGCACGCCGATTGCACGCATCTGTCGAAAGTCACCGCAAGTCATGCGCACGAGCGGAACTTGCTTTTCGAGAGTTTAACAGCCGTTCTTTACCCTTCCCAGCTCCGACCCGGCTCCATTTCGGCGCTCTTCACTTTGCGTTGCTGTAGACCCGTTGCCCCACGAAGTGGCCAGAGGGTGAGCTGTGCGTACTACTTCAATGCTACCTGCGACTGAATATCACACAAGTACAATAGCAGCAGACAGAGCACCGCGGCAGTAACAATATAACACACAGTCAGAGTCTTGGTAGTTCCCAACGGAGTGTTTGAAATTCAGAATAGTCAAAAGCGGAACCGCACTTGTTTGTCGCCCTCAAACATGCATCCGAGGACATGGAAGCCGCTGGACAAAGTCCACACTCCTTACCCGGCCGCAGCGACACTCGGTTTGTGGCAATTGTGGCTGGGGTCGGTGCAAACCATGGTGGCAGGGACTGTACTTCTCACATCGGCTCAGCTTTGCATTGCTACCAAGATCTAAGACTGGCATTCTGCAACTAAGGATGCGGCTGGCACTTCGAGTCTTCCACACAGGCCAGCAGTTTCCGGTTTTCAAGGCAGGGCACGGTGGCAGAAGGTCAGTGTCGAGCCTAAGAACCCAGCACGGAGCACTTGATGAGCACTCCAGTGGTGACAGATCACAACATCCTAGCTCAAGGAAATGCAAGCGAGACATAACCTGCCTTGCGGTTGCACAAATCTCCAGCCGGAGAGCGACGTGATCGAAACTTGCATGGCTGAAGCCTGAAGCTGCATTCGGCGGTGGAGAAGAGCAACCATACGCGCCACCATAGCATCGTTTTCCAACAGATGTCCTAGAATGACAATTCGGCTGGTGCTTCGATGGTGAAGCTCAGCAAACACCGAAGACAGAGAACTTCTGTCAAAGTCGATATCCTGCAAGGTCCCATAACCTCCGAAAGTGATGAGACCCACGAGGTTCTGCAAGAGTCTCATTAAGATCGGAACAGTCGCAAGCAGCCTCCAATGCCGAAGACCAGCTGTACTCGCTCTGTTTGGCTGCATGCCTCGGCCATGGGCTACCTCTGCTCACTTCTCGCCCAGGCGCCTGACTTGGATCTTTGCTGGCCAGTGCTTTGTCGTACATGTAGTTTAGTACACTTTTTTTTAACCGGTGAACCAGATGCCTGTTGAGATAGCGCGGAATATACTTGCAGCCAGTTCTGCATGATAGCGGCACATCAGTCAAGGATGCATCCAAGGGCATCAGCGCGACAATAAGAATGCTGATGGTAGCAATAGTATACTTGCACCAAGGCCAACATGCAATGTCACAACTGTAAAAGTCATTCTTTACAAGTACTACTACTAGAAAGATAGCTGTCATTATGATAGCCACGAGCTAGCATCATCCTTGACAAGTTCTGCGCGTTGCTGCGATTCATATTATTACTATTGTTATTGTTATTATTAGAATTATTTTTTATTGCTATTACTATTATTATTATTATTACTATTACTCTTATTATTACTATTATTATTATTGTTATTACTATTATTATTATTATTGATTATAAATATGAATTTCCAAAGGTCTCCGGCCGACCGTCGGTCAGGGAGACCGGAGGTCAGCGGCGTGCAGGCACAGTGACTTCCATCTCGGAAGGACAGAAGGGCTGTTCGGGTTTTGGAGCTACGGATTCGGTCCGGCAAGGATCCGAGATGATCAGGCTTTAAGTCTACACCGGGCGAGCACGAATCAAGCCTGTGTAAAAAACAGGTTCTGCAAAATCGCGGACTTCACCTGTCTAGCAACGGCACTGATCCCTTCATTGTGCGCTTCGTCACCCCTTAGCCCTTGGCTGTAGAGTGATTAGTGCTTCCGGGTCTGAGTGATGGCTGTGGCGTGTTTTGGCATAGCCTGCGGAAGCCCGAGTGCACCATCAAGGGATTCGGGTTGTCGGGTTTGGGGGGCGGCTGTGCCAATCAGGTTCAACAAACTTGTGGACTAGCTGCTGTTCTCGGCAAGAGCTCAGATTCGCGAAACCCTGGCTTTAGACAGGATCGCACAGCATCACAGTGGAGTACGACAAGGACTGGGGCAGTTTTGCTATCGAGGTTCCATGTGTCACGGACGTATAAAGCATTGGACGTACAGACATTGGTTGAATTGGTCACATGCCAACTGGATTTCCATGCATTCCACTCCTTCACGAGTGAGCTGATTTCCTGACAAGTCCACTTGCACCAGAACCTCCACGATTAAAAGCTGCTGATTGGTCCCAAGGAGTCCGAGCAGTACGTGCCTGACGACACTGGGTGCTTCCCTTTGGTCGATGCCGCCAGAGAAAGTCAGGCCATCCAAGTCGAGCAAACCGTGGCAAACCCTGGGACCATCAGCCTCCACCTTGTTATCGCTGAAAAGCAGCACGCTTCACTTGGTTTGCTAATTGCCTTAGATGTTATGATGATATCTGCAAGATGGTTTGCTCCGTCCCATTTAAAGTCGTCCAGGCGAAGGCCTTGACCGATGAGGAGCTCATCAAGAATGGCGTCAGCAGCGCCAGCTCCTTGAAGAATCCTGGCTTGTCGTGACTAAAACCACGTGCGGGCTTGCTGCTTTCGAGAGAATTGATTGAAGGGCAGTCCCTGTGCTTGTAAAGCGACACATGAAAGCTTGCCAATGCAAGGAGTTACTTGACAAAGCTGGGGATCGTTGTCCAAGCCCCACGGCCATGAATTCTTGGAAATGTGGAGACTGCACGAGGGTGCTCTTGGTGCTTTGCGACATCCTCCGAAATACATGTAGCTCTTTGCTCCCGGCTTGTCGGTTCACAGTTTTCAATCCAAGGACGGCCACGACGGCACCAAACCGGATCAAATCCCCGGAATTAGCGAAAGAGTCTCAGCTTCATTCGGCTGCTGCGACGGTGCTGTCTGTATGTGCAGCACCGGTATCTTCGATACCTAGGACCTAGAACTCACTCGTCAGCTCCTAAGACCCTACTTCGCGACTCGCTCAGCCATGTAGGAGGCAAAAAAAGGACCTAGAACATGTATGTATTGTTTGGTGCCCTGGGCGGTCCATACCCGTCCCCATGAAAGAGCATGCTTGCATTACAGGCAAGCGGTTAAACGAGCAGATATACTTAGGCCCGTCTGGTTGTATGGCTGTTCATCTACTTTATATTTGTCTGTGTGTCGGTCCGACTGTCCGTCTGTCTGCGTGCATGCAAGCAATGATAGATGGACCAAGGGGTAGGATGGAGGGATGGATGATGGATGGACGATGATGGACGAAGGTGTGTAGGTAGGTACATCTGAAAGTATGATCATGTACGTATATGCCTGTGTATGTACACCTGCAGGTCTGTCTAATAGCTTTGCTGATCCATGGCATTCTTCTTTTTAGCCCTCTACTGATGACAATGAGAACGATGGCTCTGATGGGATGGATGCACTGTACCCTCGTCCTGGACATACGTGCATGCGATTCAGAGCCGAAAAGCGATTTTTTCTGCAAAAAAGGCCTGGTGGGCAGTTGTTGATTCTCGTCAGCGGGTCTCCCGGATGTCAAGATTGCCGCATCATGCCATGAAGCCACGCTCTAGGATCCGTTTCGGAGGGGATGCTTCGCACAACGCTGAAAGCAAAAACATCCGAGGACTTCTGGCCCTGAATCTCAATGCCTTCGGCTCTTGGCAGGCGGCTTGGTTCTTCGTTGCACAGCCGAACGTCCCATGTGCTACGATCGGATGGAGCAATGGTTGCACACGGACAATCACATCACAGTTGTGCAGCGGATCAATTGCTGGGCCGTTTGGGGCGTGAGACCCGCAAGTCGTTTCAAAGCCCTAGGAAAGCGGGACTCGGAAACATGTCGGGCTTTTCCCGTCTCGCGCAGCAAATCATATCGGACCCCGCCCGTTTTGTTCTCGGGGAGAGAAGTGCCGACTCCACTACTGTAGAAGGAGTCTCTCCGGTTGTGTTCTATTGTAATTAAAGCGCGAGCAGTTTTTGAATGACAGTCTCGTATTGCAGAGTTGTCAGCATCGTTCATTTGGCTGTGAGAAGGCTGCGGTGGCCCTCAGGACTCACAGGCTGTCGCCGCAGGAAATAACCGAGCGCATCTCGTAGGGTTGGTCGATCGTGGGTTGCCTTTACAGCCTTTACAATCAGCTAGAGTTGGCATGGTAGAGGTGACTGCTTACGTTGTGGACGCCATTGCCTACTCTCCAAGTCGCATTTGTCTTGCCTGCCTTTGCTAGTCTTTGTACTTGCTTTGCGAAGCATGGTTTGTCCAAGCCTTTGGCTCGATCTGCAGGTTGGACCCAAGGAGAGCAGCTGGGATCAGTTCCGCATGAACGGCATCTCCTTCGCTTCTGCAGCGGGCCTTGGCGGGCAGCTCCCTTTCTTGAAGGAGACGCCTACGAAGTCGACGAAGGGTTCAGCAAGGCCTTTGGCAGGTCCAATGCCTCTCCTGTATTTGAGAGGCAGGCTGGTGCATGTGCCTGCAAGCCCACCCGTCCTTGGCATTTGCCATGCTTTTCCATGAATACTTCATCCATGGATTCCGGATGGAGCAGGAAAGGTCAAACCTTTTTCGGTTGATCGACCTCCCGGAAGGACATTTTTGACGAGCGGCAGCTGGCAGCAAATGTCCAGGAGCTCGTGCAGAAGCTCTTTCGCGTTGGAGCTGGTATGGTTGGTAAAAGACATCCTTGGAGATGTTCAGGGATCATTGGTTCATACTTGCACTTTGAGGCAACCGTTGTTCGAGCTGGGATGATCTGAATCCGAAGTTTCATGTTGTGTTCTCGCAACATGTCCTCGCGATTTTGTTTTTGGAAGTGTGTCAGGTTGAAGCTGAAGGTTCTAGAGCTCCGACGAGATATTGTCAGGTGTCAGTGGCATGCCCTTCGTGACTCTGCGGCCTCTCAGGAAACAGCTTCAACTCCTTGTCTGCGTGGTTAAGAACCGGACTATCGAGCCTGGTACCGTGACTGGATGTGATTCCCTCGTGGCAGACATGAAGTCTCCCGGCGGCTTACCTCGTCTCTGTCCGAGAAGCTAAGAGAGGAGACTGGCGTGTTTGTAGCCAGGGTTTTCCCACGAGCCACGTGCCCACACACCGCATCTCAAAACCATGGGTAGTGGTTGCTGAGTAACCGGGGTGCGCCTTTGTAGACACCAAGCAGACTTGGGACAGTCAACTGCAGGCTCTTACTTTAGGTTTCGTAGAGCCAAAAGAGGTGAGATGTGACCTACGCACGCGTAAGTATATGGCATGCATGTATGTGCTGAGTCTTGCCACGTTCGCCCACTCCTTCATGATGCCTCTAACTTGCCCAAGGTCTTTGATCAGCTGCCCAACAGCCACAGACCTCACGGAGCTGATGTCGACAGCACTCCCTCCGTCAGTCTCGGCGTGCAAGAAGGCTCGTAAGCACCTAGTCTTAGTCCGTAGGGTCTATAGGGTTTAGAGTTATTCCCGGTTCCTCAAGTTGCGACACAGCAGTACCGCGGGGCGCAGTGCAGGTCGTCACGACTGTCGGTACTCCAAGCACAAAGCATCTTGGAAGCAACGTGAGATCAGGGCTCAAACGGCCGGCACGGGAACATAGGTCTCTAGTTTGCATGACTTCCGCCTCGGTTTGAAGGCATAAAATAGTGCAGTACGGAGCTGGTTTAAGAAGCACTACTTCAACCGTTGCAGCCAGTCTGACATGTATTGATCTCATGACCTGTATTACTCTTTTTGTTGTTAAGGTCCACTTCCAAGGACCACAAAAGCACAGTTGTGACATGCTTAAGAAGGGTGTGGAATTCACGACTGCATTGTACCTGAGACCGTGTGTGCAGAAATGGCAGGGATTCAGGAGTGGGGTTGGGCTGTGGGCTGCGGCCTGTGCCTTGGGCTGGTAAGCTTGAGTGCAGAATGAAAGTTTGTGGGTGCGTTGATGCCGACTGTTTGTGTTGGAGGCAGGGAATTACTGCATCGCTGCTGCCAAGCCGCCACCCGAGGGCAGCAAAAGGCCACCCTGAAGCCAGAACACAGAGTGGCAGAGTGGAAAAAGCAGGTGTGGCACAGACGTTTTGCTGCAGTTGGTCATGACTCCGGATTTGGCCAACGATCTGGCATACCTTAGCAAGGAAGGCGGGGACACGACGGTTTGCTTGCAGAGTTCGGGGGCGCTTTGCAGCAATTTGGGAAGCAGCAAAGCAGCGTAGCGAGCAGATAGCAATGATAAACCGCCTCATTGGTTGCTGCTGCTGTCGCGGTTGGTACTGACGTCAATTCGATGCACTTGTGTTTAGCTACAGGCCGCTGCCCAGTTACGTGGCTAGCCCAGCTGCACCTGCCTGCTGTCATTTCAACATAAAGCCCGTTCTCACGCAACTGGCCAGGGGGCTTTCCAGACTCAGCGCGAGATGAGGGCGAAAGCTTCGTTCGCGGCTACAACGCCTCCTTGACGATAAAGCGAGAGCTAATTACCTCCATGCTGTGCATTCGGAAGAGCCTGCAGTTGCACGCAATATGCGTTGAGTCAGCACAGTTCCGCTAAGGGATTGAAGAACACCCCGATTGGCCACTTGCCAGCTTTCGAGATTCAAGCCACAAGGGGAAAGTTGTCGGCGCTCCGTTACACAGCGGTGGTGCCGAAGAAGAAGAGGAGACCATGCGCCAAGTACGCATCTCCTTAGCTGAGGACCGTAGTCCTGTCGTCTGCACTTTCGCTCGCCGCGGAGGTGCCGACGAAGGAGACGATGACTCCTCGCTGGAATCAAACATCTCCTTAGCTGAGGGCTCGCGGCCCTAAAGCTCCTGAGCAGGAGGAGCCCGAGTCCTGCGAGGCAGGCCCAGGGCCTTAGAGAGAAAAGCGGTACCTTAGCCACGTTTGGCCAGGTCGCGGTAGCAAAAGAGGGCGCCTCAGCCTTCCCTCCAGGGAGCACGCTTGCGTCTCCCTGCAACATCTGCGGCACGAATGCGTGCCATGACCTGAAGAGTCTTGACGCACTCTTTCGTTGGCGTGTCCAGAGACCCCCAGCCTAAACGCTGAGCCAGTGCAGAGGCTGGGGCACAAACTGTGCGGAGGTGTGCGTGCGCCACACAATCCCACATCACATGCTTCGTGTGTGGAGCGATCGGCTGCATGCAATCATGACACATGTCACGGATTGGGCCCGCTGGGGTCCAGCGCGCATCAGGAGCAAAACCCCCGCACATAATGGACACCCCGTGACCATCCACCTGACCAGCGATCTCCCGCAGTCGTTTGACCAAAGCCGAGGAAGCAATCAGGCCCTCGTTACGAGCATCACGAGCATCGTTGCGGTTAGCAGCAAGCCACCGCTGCAGTCTCGTGAGACGCCAAGACTCTCGCACCTCGTGCGCAGCGCGCTTCTGTTCAGCACTCTCGGCGAGAATGTTCCACGTGGCTTGACCATTAGTCCAGCGACCCCAGGACCCGCTACTCTTCCAGGGAGCAGGCAGACAGGAATCTAAGGCCCTGACCGGTCTGGCTTTCATGAGGGCCGCGCTCTGTGGGTCCTGGCCTATCCTGAACTTGTAAGAAGCCCATCTGGCCGCGGCCTTAAGCACCCTGCATGCCGCAACCACTGAGAGGTCGGCCGTGTGACCCAGCAGCAGCAGTTTCTGCAGGTCTCTGCTGCTGCGATCACCCTTAGCATCGCCCCCTTTCACCGCTTTCCTGAAAGTGGAGTAGTACCAGCTAAGCTCTGCAGCATCAGGGACTCGGCCATTGAGAAGGCAAGCCCAAGCCGCGATCGGGCTGAAAACTGTAGCACACAGGGCCGCGCGCATCTTCAGAGAGACTGGCAGCAGAGCAATGCGGCTCGCCACGGAAGCCGCCTTCAGATTCAAGCCACAACCTGCACTGGGTTGCATGCGAGTGATAGAGGGTTCGGCGCACTTTGGCTTGCCCAAACAAAAGCATGCGCATCTAGACTCCATAGGTCGGTAGATGCTTAGATAATCATAGACTAGATATGTAACCGTACATTCCATACATGCGTAAACATATATATATATATATGTATGGTGCGCCCAGATGCAGTTGTTGTTTTCACGTAGTTGCCTGCATAGGCACATCTTCAGACATTCCCAACCAACATGTTTTCCGAACTGACATGCATTGGCAATGCATGTCCGTTTACAGATAGACGGACAGAATGTCGGTTCATGCTTTGCTTACGTATTGAGGTACGTTCTGTAAACCTGCACAGGACGAAAGTTAAACTGTGCTGGGTGTCTCAGCTATCGAAGTACGATCGGGAGCGAAATGCTTTTGAACTATCGTTCACAGGGAAGTTGCTAAGTCTAAGCTAGACGTGAACAGGCGGGACTAGCCCTGTGGCACCTAAGGATACTCGCAGTATCTTAAACCAAGCAGAGGCTGACCCCAGACCTCACACTCAATACCCCCCTATCCGCTTTCACACCATTGCGCAACCCGCCTAACAAAGCAACCGTTCAAACCCCGAAATACAAAAAGCACATCCAAACCAATAGCCTGACCTTACTCTTGTTGATGCTGTCTTGTTTCCTCGAAAAGATACCGATGACAATGGAGCCTTCCTATGGCATGAGACAGGAGTTTTCATTCACTCTTATTGGTGATGTCTTATATCCTCAAACAGGGATACCGACAGCTATGTGCACGGTTGTCGTATTCATAATTTTATTAGCTGTCAAGATAAAGAGGAGCTTTCTTCCATAAAGATGCCATCCCAGGTTTGATGAAGGATAATGAGCTCGTAAATTTTGATTGACGAGTATGAAGAGGGCCAGTGGTATTAAATTCCGCTTCATGTTGGAAGGTTGAAGGAGCTCGCTTAACTCTGCTGTAGAAGAGCCTTCTTACCCGCCCTCCTGTGAACAAAAATCTTACTTACAGAGGAGTTTTCTTCCCTCTTATGATGGACAGAACAGCTGTTGGAGTTGGGGTTCAATAGTAGAAGCGTTTGTTGGGCTTCTTTTGTTTATAATGGCCGCTCGCTCGCTCGCTCTCTCGCTCGCTCTCGCTCTCTCTCTCTCTCTCTGTCTCTCTCTCTGTGTCTCTCTCTCTCCCTCTCTCTCTCTCTCTCTCTCTCTCTCTCTCTCTTTTCATGATCAAACCAAGCGGTGGAGCCACTAGGCACCATCAGGCAACAGCACAATCGGACACTTCACGCGCAGTGGGAAAGGGGTTGCACACATATACACCCATATTCGTATTCGTAAGAGAGAATGTGTAGCGTATTTGTGGTAATAGGACCGTCCAGCTATTTTTGGATGCAGTAGAACGCGATAAAACACAAACAAAAATACGAAGCTTTCTCATCCCAAATTCGGCATGCTCTCCATCATCTTCAGCTTCTCCAACACATGAGCTATTATTAACCTGGGGCCGAGATTCGGCACCAGATTGTGTCAAACCCCGGACTGTTAGCAACACGGTTTGCGTGCGATATTGACAGTGTTTTCGGCATATCTGAGTCGTGTCCCTATTTAGCAACCTGTAGAGTTGTGTGGAAGAGGCGGGTGTGGATCTCTGTGGTAACCATATATATTATACATATAGGTATATATACGCATAAATGTGTAGATAGACATATATGCATCTGCACACAGTATATGTATATATGATTTCAACATGTTACAGAATCAAGGTCTACACAACATCTACTTCCCGTTAACAAGATATAGACACATGGTCGTAGTCTTTCCACATATTTTGATTTTCGACAGCGTCGTGGTTCTACCAAGTTGACTCCAAAACTGAGGCGACAATGTGCAGGTTCGGTCCTTGCTCAGAAGAGACCCATTCGCTTCGGGAAGTGGTATTCAGTTTGCTGCTTGCTCGCAAGAACTTCGGGTTGCGGGCCAGTTGCGGATTGCGCGTTTCGGTTGAGGAAACTGAGAGATACTGAGAGGGAAGAACAGAGCCATAGATGCCACAACGGAAAGTGAGGGCTTCACGGACGATCTGTTTCTCCGGCATTCCTGTCAGCATGTTGGGCCTCGCGCACACACAGCAGTCTGAGCATGCCAATGCCCATCTTGTGACAAGGCTGCGCACTCGTCCGTCTTTCGCGACACAAAGATGATGTCCGCCGTGGCAGGCCTCCTGGTCGTGATAGCCGTTGCCACGACAATTGTTAGGGCTGCGGGGTCATGAAAACGGTAGTGTTCGGATAGTTTTTTCAAGAGGCTTGGCTATGCAGTTACATGGAGCAGGAGACGTACCATACCCGTGTTAGACTGAAGATATGAAGATGTCCGAGGTATTGCATCGGATATCCGCGACACAGTTCTCGGACATGTTGATACATGTTGGACCACAACAAGCACGACAACCTCGACAACAACCACAACTACCGGCGAGGCTTCTTGACGGCCCTTGCTGCCACGTGCGACAGGGCACGCTGCCGTTAGCTTCAAGACTCCCGACTCTGTAATTAACCCGCATGGTTGCTTGGCTGATGCCACTGCTTCTCGTGCAAGTTTCCATGTCTACTGGGCAGCACCCATGGCATGCAGTAGAGCACGGATCCCTTGAGACTGAGGTGAGGCCTCCCTTCTTCCAAGGTGATGTTCATCCCTTGAGGACTCCCAAGTGTGCAGTGCAAGGCTGAGAGGTCCCATGCTAGGATTTGAGTGCGCTAGACGGGTGGATCGGTCTTCTGCCTTTCAACATGGCTGCTTCCCGGTCCCGTCGGAGGACTGCTGGCATCATGCTGTTGGCTGCGCTTTCTGTGGCCGCCTTGTGCTACTACAGGCGAACGTGTGCAGTCTTCTTTCGCAAGCCGGCATGGTGCAGTAAGAGACCCAGTGGTGGCACGGTTCAGCACGGTGTGGATGGGGTTGTGGATGTGGTAGCTGGGTTACAACAGGTGCACATTATTGAGTCGCCGAGACCAAGCTTTCATGTCTCAGGGTTCGCGACAGCATTATTGGTTGTTATCGTTTGGCAAAGCGTTTATATCCGATTCTCCCTTGCTTGTCCGAAGCCATCAAATCGAGAATTGTGTCAGGCTGCAGAGAGCCGCGCCGGCGCGTGGTTTGCGAGCCATTGAAATGCAAGAGCATGCTTAGCTCGTTCCAATCTGTTCCAAGCGCCCCGGCTACATGCGCGTTTCGGACTCTTCTTAGTTGTATTGTGCCTGATAATTATGCCGCAGCCATTGGCGGAGGCCAAGGTGCATGGTCATCCAGTTCAACTGGCGCTCCAACCGGTTCATGCATTGAATGGACGAAACCGAGGACTTGCTAACTGGGTTCCTGTGCCATGCATGATCGCGTCATGATCGCTGGAAGTTTGGCTGCCAATCGCCCCTATTAGCGCTCTCAGCCTGCATGCTGCGGCTACCTTAGACGCAGACAGCCAAACTTCTGTTACCGGTCCTGCTGCGTGCGGCCCCCGCCGACTATATGCTGGGTGGTCAGCGAGACCCCCTCGCATGCATCTTTCGACATTTGTTTAACTTCCATTGCTTACTGTGCATCTGACTTACCAAGAGCTTTCAGGAGCAGAAAGTAAACTGGGTCCACATTAACGCGAGCAGCAACAACCAAGCACGTTTTACAAGTCACAGGTGTCTGTATACAAAGACCCGCCAATGGGGTGGGCACACATGCTGCTTCAAGTTGTAGATGCGTCTCTACCGTAAGGTGCGATGATTTTAGCTGTGTGTGTGTGTGTCCGTCCGTCTGTCTGTATGGGTCGGTCAAATGTTGAATTCTAAGTAGTGAAGCGGTGCAGAAAGCCTTCTAGTTAGACTACAGCTGCTTTGGCCTGGGAAGTGCCTGCGGCTGCTTCGAGCTGAAAAGGCACGGACTGTCCAGGGAGGCTTCCCCTGCATTTTGCAGCGATCGCCCAGAAGCTACCATTCACGAGAAAAGGACCGCTTGAGCGTGCTGTTCATGTCGGCCGGATGGACTCTGACGTCTTACGTTTCATCTCGTCTCTAGTGGCGCTGGTTTTGCGAGGTGGATGCTAAGATGGAGCAGCTTCTAAAAGAGATGCCTGCAGAGTGCGTGTCCTAGCTCTGTGCCACAGTCAAGATTGTATACTTCTGTTCATGGAAAGTTCTCCAAAGAAGACGGTCTGCAATCATGCTTCGATGCGTGAGGGATCGCCCATGCGAGCATGATATAGCACACGGTCGCCACTGGATTGTCTGAAGCAAGCACCATCTCCATGGAAGCCAGGACAGAACATGCTGCAGTGCTTGTGCGTTTTGCGGCAGCCATCAGTTGCACGCCTGGCCTGCTAAGGGAAGAAGCACCACCGAGCTTTATGAGCGCAAAGGACGTTTGGGAGACTCAGGCTCCCACCTGCAGTGAAAGGGGCTTGGACTGCAAATCCATCACAGCCTGTTTTGTGTGCTCGTCCGCGCACATGCACGCACGCAGTGGTGTGTGTGTATGTGTGTGCGTGGGTGGGTTGGTCGAGCAGTGGAGTACAGGGCGTGTTTCAGCTGACTCTTCTTTTCTCATCGGAGGCCTGGAGAAGTTTGAGCGGAAGTGCGACCGGAAGCGGGAGCAACCCGAGACGAGGTCCCACGAGTCTTGCAGTGGGCAAACCTTCGGGATCAGAGATTGCAGGTTGAATGGCTAGTGGAGGCTACTGTTTGGTGTTGCTGTGGCTGTGACTTGTGCCGACTCGTGTGATTTAGGCTTGCCTTGGCAAATGATCACATCCCTATACAGTGGTACTGAATGCCTGTGCAGCCACACGCTTCTCACCTTCTGGTTTCCTGCGCTCAGGTTCGGGAGCCAAGTCCTCAGCCTTTCAACTCGGGCGGAGACAGCATGAATCTTGAAAGCTGTGCCATACGACATCAGTACTGGAAGATGCATGCCCATCATTTCGCTGCTTTTGCATGTCAAGTTTCTGACACGAGCGCTGGTTGAAAGAATTGTGATTTGCAAGGCTTCCGGGTCTACAGACATGCAGGGACCTCGTCCCTCCGCAGCCTAACAGATGCAGAATGACTTCGTTGTCGATGACGGTATCATGTCGGGAATCACGATGCATGCAGCGGCAGCAGACAAGCCTGTCAATCTGCATGTTTTTGCTCTTTTCCGGAGCTTTGTACATCAGTCTTCGGCCACAGGCCACTGGATGAGCCACTTCGACGCCCACCTGGTTTGGTACAGACCTCGGCCGAAGATCGAGGGCGCAGAGTGCGCAAATCGGAATAGTTGCATTCATTGACATCCTTCGATGCTTTGGTCAACTCGCCTTTGCTCTAGAATCGTCGCTCAGTAGCTCGTAGTCGTAGACAATGGCTACCTGCCTCCGCGACCTGCATTTTTCAGATAACGTGGCAATGCCGCAACCCTCCAAGTGCATACTCGTTGGCGACAGCCTCGTGTGGTTTCAGCAGCTCCAGCCTTCCGGGACCCAGTGCTCTTCCATGAACTTGCCAATCCTTGTGGTCCGACAGCAAATTCTCCCGAGACTTGCATGTCACTAGCGAACGCTGCTTTGTGCGACTTTTAAGGAAGAGATCGATGAAGGACTCTCCAGTGTGTCCAGTGTACTTTGCATTCATGCCTCCTGACACTACCTTTGGAGCCGCATGGTTTGCCTCCGGCAAATGCATGCTGTTGCAAGCAGGGAAGAAGCAAGTGGAGTCGTGCGCTCGTCGACGTCTGAGACATTTGGCGTGCGCCGTTCGATTTGTCAATCTTGCTCGATTCTCTCTCTATCTGTCTGTCGCTCTCTCTCATCTTCACGCCCTAGCCCTAGATCTCAAGGCCAACCCACGACGATTGAGCATCCGTACTTCGCAAGAATTTGCAGATGAAGGGCTTGTGCCGGGCAGAGAGGTTCTCTTTCTGTCCAGCACACACTCTCTCTCTGTCTCTCGTCGCTCTCTCCATGTTAAAAGACCTGAACTCTCCCTGGCCTGCTCAACTCTACTCCGTCTTGGCCGTGACGCAGGAGATGTGGCTTCAACGCTCAAGGACTGCTCAAGTTTTTGCGGCCTTGCCAACAACAAGCAACGGCTTCCGGGGCTTTTCGGTATAGGCATGTTCGAAACCGATGGCTGGATCCATGATTCATGTCTTGGCCCCCGAAGTGTTCCTAGTGAATGCATACAACATGTATGTGAGAGGCAGCATCTTCAACCATACTTAGTGTACTTCACACCTGTGGCCATGTAGCACATGGGTGTCAGTCAGAACTGTAAGCTAGGTCAGATAGGAAAATTAGCCATCTACCGTCGACCATGGCCCTGACATACTGGAGTTTACTTTGCCGACTCACTGCTCCGTCGGCGGCTCACCTGCTAAGTTTCTATTGAATGCTGTACACACATACACATACACATATTCATTTCTGTAGCTGTTTACTCATGTATGTATTAGTTAATTTGTAGTTTTATTTGCGCCGTTATTTTGTAATTAGATATCATGTACGTGTGTGTGTGAGCATAAGGTTATGCATGTACATACACATACATACGCTTACACGGGTGCGCATGTACACATGAATCTATATATATATATATACATGTCTGTATATGCATATACATATAGATGTCTATGTGTGCGTCTCACGCAAATACGAACAGACACGCGCACACACTCATATATATATATATATATGTATGTATGTATAAGTACATGGTGTATAGATATATATATATATGTCTAAGTTTATATACATAGTTGTGTACGTGTATATTTATATGTATCTACAAAAATGTGACGACCATGCATATACATATATAAAGATATATATATATATATTGATATGTTTATGTTCGATTAAGCAGATATGCACATAAATGCACATGTATGCATGTACATATATATATATATGTATGTACACATACATGCATGTATGTATGTATGTGTGTATGTATCCGTACAAATATACATACATACACATGTCTTTATATGTGCATGTGCGTGTGTTTGCGTATGTATTTATGCATGTATGTACGTATATAGTCACATGAATGAATGCATGATTGAATAAATGTCCTTATGTATGTCTATATCCAACTATATATCTGTATGTATATATATATAAACACCTTTATGTACGTAGGTAGGTAGGTAGGTAGGTAGGTAGGTAGGTAGGTAGGTAGGTGGGTAGGTAGGTAAAGGGACATACACGCGAACAAATATGTAAAATATATATAGACGCAGAAGTACATATCATTGTGCAAGAATGTGAGCAAATATAATTAACTGGGAAAGCAAATAAACAGGTAAACATGTACGTGTGTTTATATATATATATGCACGTGTGTCTACACATGTATGAAGATAGGCACACATATATATGTATGAATACGAAGCTCGGTAGTTTGCATGTGCATAGCTCTTAACAGAGAAATATGTTTACATGTGCATCTATACTACTATGTTTTTACATTTTATGCCATGCAACGCCTTGGCAGGCCATGTTCCCTCATGCGAAGGTTCGAACCGGATCCGAGGTTGGGGCGGGGAGTGTTGGAAGAGATGCAGCGCCGATTGATGGTTGGAGTATGTTGAGAGTTGCAGATTCGAGGCATCGTCTAGGGTTGGGAACTGGCAAGTCTCTGTGTGCAACTCCTCAATTGGGTAAACGGCATGCGAACCAGGAGGACCGTGTGCTCAGCAGCGTGCGGTAGTCCTGTCGTTGCTGCTTGCGTGGCGTGGCTGCACGTCGAAACGTGCTGCCAGGAATCGGCTGATGTCGAAGTCAGTGTGAGCACCGTGTCCGCAACAGCCAGTGGATGGCCATTAGGCACTGGAGGAGAGTCACGTATACAAGTAGACTCTGCATTGCAAGTAGTGCGTGGCATCATGACGACCGGCTATGTGCTGAGGCAATGATGTCGATCAGGACGTGCACTCAGCCCATCCGCAGTATGTGCATCTGCAGATCTTGAACGATATGATTTGAAGCGGCAGGGCTGGAAAAGGCATTCAAGTTTAGGTCAGGGATACCTCGATGTTCTACGGGGTTTGGGCTAGGAAGCCACCCATTCAGCTTCTCGGTTTCTTGGCATGAACTGTCACTGCAAACCTGAACTCACTGCCCATATGGATCCTCGCCTGGCTTGTCCGAGTTGTGAGAGTGTAACTCACTGCGAAACGCTTCCAAAAATCTCCTCTCGGTTCTGACAGGGTTAATCTAATTAGTACTGCCAGAACTGCTGACATGTAGTTGTTCCATCAGTGGTGTTATCTTGTGCTTTCGCCAAGATGTGACCACTTTGTCTGACTTTCGAACTGGCACATCGCCATAGAAGCTTCCGAGATCTTCCGCGGTAGCTTGAATCCCGATCTCAAGCTTCTTCCTATGCACCAAGGAAGACTCGCTTGCCGACCCCGAGGCTGGAGGGGCAAGTCCGCCTGGCTGGTATGTAGACTTGCCCGAAACCTCAAAGCGTGTGCCAAACTCGATAAAACTCTGCTTTGGCTTAGACTTGCGCCCGGGACAACATCACGGCACAGGGCAGGAGCCACGACTGGCTTCAAGGAACTTCGGGAGAAATTCAGCGCCGTCAGCCGTGCAACGCGGTACCACTCCACTGCTGGGTTCCTGTTCCCACTTTCCGGGAGAGGCCCTGCCAAGAGTGAGCCTTGCAGAACCGGCAGGTGTTAAGTCGCGTCGAGGCCTTGCAAAAGAGCACCAGGCGCGACATTTACAGTCAGTGTGAGCTGAAGCGGAACCAGACAAGTTGAGTTTTCGAACGTTTGGCATGATAAGGTGATTCGGAAAAGGCTGCAGCCGAGACCAACGTGCAAATGTCTTGCAAAACGTAACAAGGGCTGCACGCAAACCCGACTTGCAGGCCCAAGCCCGAAACCACATCCCTCGAGCTAAGTCGGTTGAGCTCCAATAACTCTGAAACCGAGAGCTCCTTTGCCCGGGTTTGCATTACTCAAGCTCTCAACAACCCTGTGTGCTAGAGCTGTCACGTGTCACCAGGTTTAACGATCCTTCGGTCCCGAAAGCCCTGTAGAAAAGTGGCTGTCAGTCGAACTTCATGGCAGCCTATTTCTGAGGGTCCCCCCACTCCCTCGCTCGCCGCAGTAGCGCCCTCGACGACCGCGCCCAGAAGAGCCTTGGCAGCCTGGAGGCTGCGAAGGCACTGGAGGCCGCCTGGTGATTTGCTGTCCTACGGTTCTGATTCTGTCTTATCGGCTTTCCTTCTTGTATGAGCTGCTTATACGCAGGGGGTCTCGGTCAGCCTGATTCCTCCCGAAGACACCCACAAATACAGAGTTGAATAGGTTTTCGATTGAAGGATAGCTGACGATTGGAATACTCCAAATCCCGGCGTCTACATGGCAAACACGTTGGTTTCGAATCTTGGAAGGCTTCCAAATCTAGTATATACCTCAGCGTCCGAAACAAATCCTGCACTTTGGCCTATCTGCTGCGTGCTTCCTGAAACCAGCGTCTACATGGGGTTTAGCTAGTTCTGATGTGTAATTTCCCCGCTGATGTGTATTCTCCCTAAACCAGCGCCTGCCGACATTGATGTGTATTCGCACCAGCTGATGTGAGATAACCCCAACGCAAGTAGA